ATAGCTCTACTCCCATTGGTCTATTCTCCTCTGATTGGTCAGATAGCTCTACTCCCATAGGTCTTTTCTCCTCTAATTGGTCAGATAGCTCTACTCTCATTGGTCTGCTCTCCTCTGATTGGTCAGATAGCTCTTCTCTCATTGGTCTATTCTCCTCTGATTGGTCAGATTGCTCTTCTCCCATAGGTCTAATCTCCTCTAATTGGTCAGATAGCTCTACTCTGTTCTGACCGGCCAGATTGCTCTAATCTCCTCTAATTGGTCAGATAGCTCTACTTTGCTCCCATTGGTCTACTCTCCTTTGATTAGTCAGATAGCTTTTCTTTCATATGTCTATTCTCCTCTAATTGGTCAGATAGCTCTACTCTACTCCCATTGGTCTACTATCCTATGATTGGTCAGATAGCTCTACTCAACTCCTATTGGTCTAATCTCCTCTAATTCGTCAGATAGCTCTTCCATTGGTCTACTCCCCTCTGATTGGTCAGATAGCTCTACTCCACTCCTATTTGTCTATTCTCCTCTGATTAGTCAGATAGCTGTACTCCCACTGGTCTATTCTCTGATTGGTCAGATGGCTCTACTCAACTCCCATTGGTCTACTCTCCTCTGATTGATCAGATAGCTCTTATCCCATTGGTCTATTCTCCTCTGATTGGTCTGAAAGCTTTACTCCGATTGGTCTATTCTCCTCTGATTGGTCAGATGGCTCTACTCCTATTGGTCTATTCTCCTCTGATTGGTACAGTAGCTCTACTCTGCTCCCATTGGTCTATTCTCCTCTGATTGGTCAGATAGATGTACTCCATTGGTCTATTCTCCTCTGATTGGTCAGATAGCTCTACTCGATTGGTCTATTCTCCTCTAATTGGTCAAATAACTCTACTATACTCCTATTGGTCTATTCTCCTGATTGGTCAGTTAGCGCTACACCCAATGGTCTACTCTCCTCTGATTGATCAGATAGCTCTACTCTGCTCCCATTGGTCTATTCTCCTCTGATTGGTCAGATAGCTCTACTCCTATTGGTCTATTCTCCTCTGATTGGTCAGATAGCTCTACTCTACTCCCATTGGTCTACTCTCCTATGATTGGTCAGATAGCTCTACTTAACTCCTATTGGTCTACTCTCCTCTAATTGGTCAGATAGCTCTTCCATTGGTCTACTCCCCTCTGATTGGTCAGATAGCTCTACTCCACTCCTATTTGTCTATTCTCCTCTGATTAGTCAGATAGCTGTACTCCCACTGGTCTATTCTCTGATTGGTCAGATGGCTCTACTCAACTCCCATTGGTCTACTCTCCTCTGATTGATCAGATAGCTCTTATCCCATTGGTCTATTCTCCTCTGATTGATCAGATAGCTCTTATCCCATTGGTCTATTCTCCTCTGATTGGTCTGAAAGCTCTACTCCCATTGCTCTATTATCCTAATTAGTCAGATAGCTCTACTCTCATTGGTCTACTCTCCTCTGATTGATCAGATAGCTCTTATCCCATTGGTCTATTCTCCTCTGATTGGTCTGAAAGCTTTACTCCTGTTGGTCTATTCTCCTCTGATTGGTCAGATGGCTCTACTCCTATTGGTCTATTCTCCTCTGATTGGTCCAGTAGCTCTACTCTACTCCCATTGGTCTATTCTCCTCTGATTGGTCAGATAGATGTACTCCATTGGTCTATTCTCCTCTGATTGGTCAGATAGCTCTACTCGATTGGTCTATTCTCCTCTAATTGGTCAAATAACTCTACTATAGTCCTATTGGTCTATTCTCCTGATTGGTCAGTTAGCGCTACACCCAATGGTCTACTCTCCTCTGATTGATCAGATAGCTCTACTCTGCTCCCATTGGTCTATTCTCCTCTGATTGGTCAGATAGCTCTACTCCTATTGGTCTATTCTCCTCTGATTGGTCAGATAGCTCTACACCTATTGGTCGACTCTGCTCTGATTATTCGAATGACTCTATTTTGCTCTCATTGATTTGTGCACAGAAGTATAGCTGGAATAACAACTTTGAAAGATCTTGGAAACTCTGCAGACCTTTTACATCTACAACAAGCTATGTGCAAAAGCATAATATGTGCATGAGCAACTGGTGGCAAGAATTATGCATGTAAAATACCATTAAAACACTGAATCCATTTCCTCCTCTCGTCTCTCTGACCTCCCACATCAAACATACTGGAAGAGAAGAACAGAAACATGAGGCTTGTAGGATTAAGATGTGAAATGTGTCCCTCTAGTGGACAAATCAAGAAAATACACTTAAAAATACACAGATATACTTACATACTTCCAGCACATGTTCATAGTAACAAACTTTAATAGTAAGTGGACTCACTGAAAGTTGACTTTGTCTACTTGAAATCGCGTCTCGAAGATCCCTGATGTTAACACTCTGCAGCGAAGCAAGTCCTGAAGAAGAAAGGAAAGTGTGTTAGGAGAGAACTAATGTTTGGGTAAATGAAAAGAGACACATTAACAGATAAAATAATCAGTGTGTGATTTTGAAGGAGCTCCAGCAGTACCTGGTCTGTTGGAGTATAGTCGCTTTGTCTTACTGCATCAATCCGGTCAAGAAAACTGTAAAGACACAAAAGAAAAAAAACACATTTATTTTTTATTATTTTTCAATTTTAATTTGAATATGAATTAAAATGTGTCCTGTTTTATCAGAGCCAAAATAATGACAATCGCATACTTTTTTGCACAATTTAGAGACGATTAAATAAATGTAATTTGATTTAAATTTACAAAAGACTTTTTAAAAATAACAGTGCAGCCTCAAATTAAAGAAACGTTGTATTTTCCATCAGTCTTAATACACAAATGTAACTTAGGGCTGGGCGATATGGCAAAAATGCAATTTCCATAATTATATTTCTTATTGAACAATAACGATTTTGATATATATTGTTAATGCTTTCAGATTTAAAAGAGTATCCCAACAATGACTGAACCACAAAAATTGGAAGGTCCATTAAATTTTCGGATTATAAATGGCCGAAAATTTGGTGCACCTCTAATATCAACACACCCCTAGATTTCCTTTGTTGTATTGTATTGTATTGTTTTGTAGATCAATATTGAGTAAAAAAGTCCAGAGCTTATCATTGTTATTGACATAAATTCAATTGCGATTCAACAAAATATCATTTATTGGCCCAGCCCTAATGTAACCACAGAAAAATAAAGCTTTAAATGGGGAAACTCTTTGGTGATTTTTGAGTGAGCTAAGTTAAGCTAAAAGGGCTCCCGCCAAATCCAGAGACTGTCTGATTAGACATAAAAACAGTAAAACAAAGCTGTTTAACTCTAAGGAAAGTGTCAAATATGTCTATTTTTAAAAAGTGTAGCATTCTTTTAAAAGAACTGTATTTAATTAACCATATTAACTTTCCATTAAAGTCTATTATCCAAAAATATGACATTGAAAACCATTTAATTGTTTATTTCACCATTGCAAACAGTGCTAAAAGGGGTAAACCATCAATAAGGAACCAAACTCTACTTCCAGCAATATCCTTTGAAGACCTAGATATACCTGTATCTGTATCAGATACATTGACAAGATCTGAATGGGACAGAGTCCCTAAAAGCTTCCTTACAATCAGAGCGAGCTCAAGTATCTTCAATAACAAGCCCATATCTTTCTCCTGCTTGCCTTCAGAATGGTAGAATATTAGCCCAACGCTGTGACCATCATGTTATATTAGTGCTATTAATATTAACCATACCAGTTCAACTTAACCATTCATAAAGTCCATTCAACAAAAACATGACTTCAGAAAACAATTTCACGGTTTCTTTCATCATTTCAAGCAGTATTAAAAGTGGTAACCCATCAAACTCTTCCTCCAACTATGTCCTTTGAAGGTCTAGATATACCTGTATCTGTATCAGATATATTCACAGGACCTGAATGGGACCCGAGTCCCTGAAAGCTTCCTTACAGTCAGAGCGAGCTCAAGTATGTTAGATAACAAGCCCATATCTTTCTCCTGCTTGCCTGCAGAAAGGCAGAATATTAGCCCAACACTGTGACCATCATGTGATATTAGTGCTATCAGCACAAACCGAGACAAATATAGACTCATCCCACAAGCTTGTGACAACAAGACAATCTGTAAAGACACTGCCCAAAAAAAAAAAAAAAAGATGATAAAAAGATAAAAGGTTTGTATGGAGATCTCCATTCCTGCTTTTAATACGTGTGTAATGTTGGAGAATTTCATTCAGCTGAAACCATTTATTCAAATACTATAGTTGTGGATTGATTATGTGAGAGGACATGAATACTTTATTCAGCAAGAAAGGACACAGACATTTTTACATTTATCAATGTAAAAGTTCTTTTGATTAATCAACAATCCTTAAAAAAAATCTGTTTCAGCATGATTTTTTTGCAGCATTATTGTTTTGTGTGTGTATATATATATGGTATTTTTTAAGACACTTCTATACAGCTTAAAGTGACATTTAAAGGCTTAACTAGGTTAATTAGGTAGGTTAGGGTAATTAGGCCAGTTATTGTATATCGATGGTTTGTTCTGTAGATTAAAAAAATAGCTTTAAGGGGCTAATAATTTTGTCCCAAAAATGGGTTTTATAAACTGCTTTTATTCTAGCTGAAATAAAACAAATAAGACTTTCTCCAGAAGAAAAAATATTATAAGACATACTGTGAAAATTTCCTTGCTCTGTTAAAAATAATTTGGGAAACATTTAAAAGAGAAAAATAAAATCAAAAGGGGGCTAATAATTCTGACTTCAACTGTATATGTATGTATGTATATATGTATGCTTTACTGAGCTTTTATATTCAAATTGGTTCATTTTTGATTCCTATACTGTTAACCATGCTACTCTGAATATTCGCTCTGCAATAGCATGTAAGCATGGCTTCGTAATAAATGTAAGTCCTGCAAGCCGCCGGCCAAACACTAAGTAACTGGCGAATGACATGACCTAGTGGGTTGTCTGCTGTTGTGAAGTGCGCGCGTTTGCAGTTTCAGGAGGCGTGGCTTTGAATCACAGTCCCTCCCCGCGATCCAAAGATAATATGCTAAGCGGTAAGCATTTTGGCAGATCACCTGCTGCACCTTTAATCATAATTATTATTAGAAAATTATTTCTTAGCTAAAAAAAGTCAAAACAAGCAAAATATAGCTGTATACTATATTTTTTATTTAACAAAACGCTTCTTAAAAAACAAACAAAAACAATTGACATTTTAAAAATAATTGTTGTCATGTATCTAAAATATGCACAGTAATCTGTCCTGACTAAAGGTCCCAGATCACCAGTTAACAAAACATATATGGGAAGTTAATATCCTCTTAAATCAATGTTATTGTAAAAAATGATAATTAAACCATATTAACAAAAAATAACTAAGCAAAAGGAAGCAGGTGACAAACATACTGTGTGTGATAATGAAAGGATGCTCCCGCGCACACGGTTAACATTAGGCCTATTAATAATCTGTTCAAATAATGGTTAAAGTGAAAGCAACCGGTGCTGCTTACAAAAAAACCCATCTGGAACTCTCGAAAGCAGCAAGACTCTGGGTGCATGAGCAGAGAACCAATCACACCAGTTGCGTGTCTATCAGGTTTCTGGGCACAGTTGCTTCAGTTGCACGTGTTTTAAACAGTCGAGCGAATAACATCAGCTATTGGCACGAGTGATTATCCTCTCATTCAGTATTCACCTGCTTTCTTTTATTTGCACATTATTTTTGTAAGTCATGCTGCTTTTCGATTTTAAGACCACATTTGCACCCATATTGGGCCATTGTTATTGTCAAACCCTGCTTTTAAGATAACTACTATTTAAAAACTACTTTCAACCAGCTACAGTGGCTAGTGTTGGTGTCTGTCCAACCCGCCATAGCTAAAATCTACCCGCATTTGGTGGGTGTTAATATAAAGCCCTGATTATTATTATTATTATTATTATTGATGAAATAAGCAGTCCTAAGTTCGAAGCTTAACACCACTAGCAGTGACGCATTCATTTTGTTTTGTGGTGACATTAAAAGCAGATAGTGGGGGAAAAAAACAACAGATTGGAATAAGAACATTAACTCACTGTACTCATCTGGACACTGCCACTTTAACCACTGATTAAATCCAACAAGCAGCCGGCAAAACATCAGAAAAAAAACAGATTCCAGCACCAGATCGCTACTTATAATTAGACACATGACGGTATCGCATTTTCTTGTTACGTTAATTGCTGAAGCTTTAATAATGACAGATGGTATTATCAAGAAACTAAACATAAGCTCTGAAAAAAAGGTTACTCTGACAGGTGTAGTAGCCAAAAGAACTGTGATTTTTTTTGTATGCACATCATTTATTTCAAAACAAATTGCAAAAAGATTACAAATCCTATAAATACATTATTATAAATATATTAGTAGATGGGAGTTAATGCACTTAGCTAACAGAGACAGTGAGAAACCGCTACCTTTGTTATACAAGTTGTGTTAATTTTAGAAAATACCACTGAAATGAATTGGTTATTATGTACGTTAGCTAAAATCATAATGGCTTCTGAGAAGCCTGCACAATATATTGTTTCTGCATTGATATTGCAATGTGTGCGTCTGCAATGTTTATATTACAAGATTTGCAATGTTGAGACTGTATTATAGACGACCAGTAACTATAGGTCAAAACACAGAACATTTGTGGAGAGATTGATTTTATTAAATTATTTATATGATGAAGATAATAGTGTTATTTAATATCTGATAATTCAATTTCTGTACCAGAATACTGTTGCTTTCTCCAGAAAACTGTGAAAAAAAGCACAGGAAATTTTACTTTAATACTTGCTCCATTGTATTTATTTATGACTGTAGTTTGTTTATTATACGCGTTTATAATTAATTACATAAAAACATATTTATATTATACTCCCTTACAAAATCCTCCTAAGTGATGACTTTGTGAAAGAGCCATTTATATAATCAGGTGAAATTATATCGCAATATATATTGTATACAGAAAAAAAATTGCAATGTACAATTTTATATATATATATATATATATATTAGGGGTGTAACAATACACTCAGCTCACGATACGATGTGTATCACGATATAATGTTCGCGATTCGATATGTATCACGATGTTTTGAATAAAAATTGAAAATTAAAATGAAATGCAAATTTTACCAAGTAAAATTTTTTACCAAGTACTGTTTTTTATGTATTTCTTTTGTTTCAACTTGTTAAACTGAACCTTCTTTAAGAAAATAAATTAAACAGGCCTATCTCTGGAAAATAAAACAATTTAAAAACTTCTTTAAAAAAAATCCACATTTCCAGGTAATCAGCAGTTCTATAAGATAATACTGAACTTATGTGTATCTGTCTGAGAGGTGTTTATGGATGGCTGTCTTCATGTTGGGCATGATGAGTGACAGGGTGGCCGTCTTTTCATAACACAGGACAGTCGTGGCTCTTTTCAGCAGTTTAGGCAGGTTTACTATTTCTTCTACTAATCCTCTATTTCACATCCACTCTTCTTGGTCAGCTAACATTACTGCTGCTGCAATCTGAACTCACGTGC